TCATCTCAGACAAACGTAAAACTTCACACCGAAGGCCTGTTCATCTCAGACAAACGTAAAACTTCACACCAAAGGCCTGTTCATCTCAGACAAACGTAAAACTTCACACCGAAGGCCTGCTCATCTCAGACAAAAAAAAAAAAAAGGCAACAAATAAAAAGCATGTCCAGTTTTCAAGAAAAAAAAAAATTACAAGGTATACTAAAAGGCAAACAAATACAGTGTGAAGAGACAGGGCAAGCACTAGAACCGGACTCAAGTATGATGGAGATTAATGAATTATCAGGTTGGGAATTCAAAATAACTATTACTAATATGCTAAGGGGTCTAATTTAAAAAAGTGGACAACATGCAAGAACAGACAAGTAATATAAACAAAGAGAAGCAAACTCTAAGAAAGAATCAAAACAAAAAGTCATAAATCAAAAACACTGTAAGAGAAATGATGAATGCCTTTAATGGGCTCATCACTACACCGCCAAAAGCAGAATCAGTGAGCTTGAAGATATGTCAATAAAAACTTCCCAAACTGAAAAGGAAAAAAAAAAAAAAGAAAAAGTGGAACAGAATATCAAAGAACTGTGGGGCAATTACAAAACGTGTGACCTATGCGTAACAGAAATACTGTAAGAAGGAAGAAAGGAACAGCAAAAAAATTTGTAGTAAGAATGATACCAAATTGTAGATCCAGGAAGCTGAGAAGACACCAAGCAGGATAAATATTAAAAAAAAAAATCTACACCTAGGCTTACCATATTCAAACTGCAGAAAATCAAAAATGAAGAGAAAACCTTGAAAGATGTCAAAGGAAAAGAAAAACACCATACCTATAGAGAAACAAGGAGAAGAATTACACTGGACTTTTCTTCAGAAATCATGCAAGCAAGAAGAGAGTGGAGCAAAATATTTAAAGTGTAGAAGGAAAAAACCCACCAGCCTATTCTGTATTCAAAAAAATTATCTTTAAAAAATGAAGGAGAAATACTTTCTCAAACAAAAGTTGAGGAAATTTGTTGCCAATAGACATGCCTTTCAAGAATTGTTAAAAGAAGTTCTTCAGAGAGAAAAAAAGTAATATAGGTCAAAGACTACAACTGCCTCATAGGGTTTCCAAGGCTGTAAATCTTTGGAGAAGCAGATTGTCAAATCTTTCTCCCAAGAACTGGCTGGTGGGTTCGAACTGGCGACTTCCCGGTTAGCAGCCAAGTGCTGGATCTGTGTGAAGGAAAAAAACCAAAAAACCAAACCCGTTGCCGTCGAGTCAATTCCGACTCATAGCAACCCTACGGGACAGAGCAGAAATGCCCCATAGGGTTTCCAGTGAGCAGCTGGTGGATTCGAACTGCTGACCTTTTTGGTTAGCAGCCGTAGCTCTTAACTACTGTGCCACCAGGGTTCCTAGAATCATATAAAAGGCTCAACTAAAATCAGAGAAGGCAAAAAAAGAAGATGGTGCCCGGATACCACCACTGACTGCTCTGACCAGGATCACAACAGAGGGACCTGGACAGAGCTGGAGAAGGATGTAGAACAAAATTCTAACTCACAAAAAAGGACCAGATTTACTGGCCTGACAGACTGGAGAAACCCTGAGAGTATGGCCCCTGGAC